TCTTCCCGTGCGGTCAGTGCGGCATACACCATTAGGTATGCATAAATGCACTACACAGTGTTCGTAAATACACCATTATGTGTGGTGTATTTTTTTTTTTTTGTGTGGTGCATATTTTGACATTTCATTCTGGTGTATTTTCGAACACTGTATAGTGCATTTATGCATACCAAATGGTGTATGCCGCACGGGAAGACCTGACCTCACATGAACCTATATATATATATATATATATATATATATATATATATATATATATATATATATATATATATATATAATTGCACTCAGGTGCGAATGTTTCGCCCAGGCGCGAAATAGGAATGGATTCTGTCCGTCCACGTGTCCAGATCTAATGGATGAGAAACACTGATTTTTTTAAAAAAACGCGGTGGCATTTTCGTAAATAATTGAACATCGAAGTGCAAGTAAAATGTATTACAAGTGCATGTAAAATGTATTATCGGTGCAAGTAAAAATTTACACTGAGCATCAATACTTAGTTGCACCTATAGTTCTAAGTAGTTGCACCTATAGTTCTAAGTAGTTGCACACATAGTTATAAGTAGTTGCACCTAGGTGTATGAATGTTTGCGAGTGGTTTTCAGGGTATTACTACCCGCTGAACTCAGATCTATGAATGTTAACAAGGCAAAATTACATGCACTTATAGGTGAAAGTAGGTGCACCTATAGTTATAAGTAGTTGCACCTATAGTTATAAATAGTTGCACAGATAGTTATAAGCACACCCAGGTGCATGAATATTTGCGGAAAGTGAATGCTAACAAGGCAAAATTACATGCACTTATAGGTGAAAGTAGGTGCACCTATAGTTATAAGTAGTTGCACATATAGTTATAAATAGTTGCACATATAGTTATAAGCACATCCAGGTGCATGAATGTTTGCGGAAAGTGAATGCTAACAAGGTAAAATTACATGCACTTATAGGTGAAAGTAGGTGCACTTGTAAGTGATTTTACTTGCACTTCGATGTTCAATTATTTACGAAAATGCCACCATGTTTTTTTTTTAAGTTATTAGATCTGGACACATGTCGCACGCTGATTTGTTCGCATTTCCCTCCAAAGCATTTATTCGCACCTGAGTGCATCCCTATATATATATATATATATATATATATATATAGCATCAATTTTTTGGATGAAAAGGGGAACCACAAGTCCACAACATTAACTATTTGCTAGCATAACGCGTCTTAGCTTGTACATGGCTATCAATTTTCAAGAGTGGGACAGGGCTTGAGTCCTTTGCTATTTAAGTGTGGGGATGCATGCTTAGGTTGTGGGTGAAACAAAATAAATATTATTGTACAATCATTGACTGCCATGCATGCTTGTCCTCTTCCATTAATTATTAACATTCCACCCACATGTTGGTTGGACGTTAAATGTGTAGTATCTGTTCATAATTACTTTCTCAATCTACTAAAATACAAAAAAGATAGTAACACTTCCACTAAAACTTGAACTCACAACTTCTTATATAGGAATTCAACCTGGGTGTCATTAGATCACAAGGTTTTGGCAATGTTAAATGTGTTTCTTTCAATGTAATATCTAAGAAACAATATAATGTCACTACAACACTACTATACTATCTTCAAATTTTTTTCTTTTTTTTTTTTTATCTTTAATAAAATGATAAAAGGGAGTGGACTTATACTACGACACTCACCCAAATGTTCTAACTTCGATGCAGTATTGTACGCCACCCCACCCCACCAAAAAAAAAAAAAAAAAAAATCTAAAAGAGAGATCCATAGAGCTATGGTAGAAATGTTTAATATAATATAATCGTTATAATTAGTGTTTTGAATAATATTATGTGTTATGATTAGTTGACTTTTAAATTATATAACCATTAATTACATAAGCTAGTCAATTACAATGCTTTACGTGTAATCACGCATGATGGAAATTCTCAATAGATTAGTTGGTAGTCCCCGACGGAAGGTTAGATCAAGTGCAACACGGATGGGCCTTCAAAAGGAACTTTAGTATGGCTAGTGCAGGGGACTTATTCGGAGATCAGACCATCACGGGAATTGGATGCTTGGGTTCATGACTAAAATTTGGCATATTAGTAGCTTTGACAAAGTGATTTTTGAACTCGCGCGATTCGGAAGCAGTGATAGCTTACATGAGAGGGGAGGAGGATATTGAGGATTCTACTTAGATTCATATTAAAGATGCAAATTCCTTGGTTCATGCATGAGAGAGATAATGTTCTCCCACACATTAAGAGAAGATAATAAAAGTGCTGACTGACTTGCGAATTTAGGACAAGTTGCTGATTGGGGTACAACTATTTTGGATCACCCGCCAAGAAATTTGGAAAATCTTCTTCTTGCTGATGCTCATGGGGCCATAACCCATAGAGTGTGGTAATGTATTTCCCCGTATTATCGTGGGTCTTTACTCACCAAATATATATATATATATATATATATATATATATATATATGCCATAGCTGATCACTGTCCGAAAGGGAGATCATGGAACGTTGTAACTTAAAAGGTAATACGGGATATAACATATAGTACAATTTCTGTCTTAGTTCTAACAAACAATATCAATTTCGGAGATACTAACCAAGGGAAAACAAATTTACAATATACTAATAATGAATTTGTTTCAAGACTCACTCGACAAAATAGGCGTCAAGGTGTACAATAAAATTTGCTAGGGACCTTAAAAAAGGCATTCCACCTTAATGGTATATATATCATAAATCATGATCCACCTTGCATTGTGGATCCTTGTCCAAAAATTATATATCTACAATTAACATATTATTTGTCTTCAGTTAATAAATTGTGTGCATGTAACTAAATTCAAGACACATAATATGTTATCTACAAACACATAATATATATTACCTTTAATTTATTTACATGCACATAATCTGTTAACTGCAAACACATAATCTATTAACTGTAAATACATAATTTGAATGTCACATTAAAACATAGCGCACAATGCAATGTGAACCATGATCTATAGTTTTCCTTCCGCCTTCCATCCCCTGTTACAAACTGGCAATGCAATCGTTATGCTGTGGAACCGTGTCCACCTTGCAAGGTGGACACAGTTTTATGTTCATAATTACTAAATTATATGTTCATAATTATAAAACTATATATTCATAATTTTTTAACTTCATATTCATAATTATTAAACTCTATATTCACAATTACAGAACTCTATGTTCATAATTACAGAACTATATATTCATAATTATGTTCATAACTCTATGTTCATAATTATAGAACTATATGTTCATAATTTTTGAACTATATATTCATAATTATGAACAGTTTTTAAATCGTGTCCACCTTGTTCCACAGCATAATTTGCCCTGGCCATGCTACACGGCCTACAGCATAGACATAGAAGGCAATTTATATCGTGCACCACGGCGCACATAGCAATGTGCACCCAGGCACAAAACGCGCGCGTTTCATGTTGACGCCACTCTGTTCATCCAAACAGACCAAACCTCATTATTTGTATTCAGTAAAAACTTTGTGTAATGTGTTATGAGTTTATGTGTATTCAGTAAAAATTTTATGTGTATTGTGTTATGAGTTTATGTGTATTCAGTTAAGAGTTTATGTGTATTATGTTAACCAAACCCATTATGTGTATTCAGTTAAAAATTTGTGTATTATGTATTTTGTTAGATTATGTGTGTTATTCTGTTATGAATTTATATGTATTCTGCTATGAGTTTATGTGCATTCGAAACAGGGGATTTTTTTTTTTAACAACTTAACAAAACGACGTCGTTTTGGGAGGCGCGGGACGCACAATGCTATGTGCTCCCTGGTGCGCAAATTATGCTGTGGACACTAGTCCAAAACGACGTCGTTTTCAGGGAAAATGCGGCATTCTAGTTAAAAAAAAATTGATTTTATCTCGCCGTTAACGGCGTTATTCGTTTGTGGCATTATGAATGTACATTTATGGAATTATGAATGTACAGTTATGGAATTATGAATGTAAGTTATGGAATTATGAACACAGAGCTCTGACATTATGAACTTACAATTATGAACATATAGTGATAAAATTATGAACATAGAGCTCTAAAATTGTGAACATAGAGCTTCAAAAATTATGAATTTACAGTTATTGAATTATGAATGTACAATTACGAAATTATGAATGTACAATTATGCAATTATGAATGTACAGTTATGGAATTATGAACACAGAGCTCTGATATATAAACTTACAATTATGAACATATAGTAATAAAATTATGAACATATGCTCCTATAACAAAGCAGTCTGAAATTTAAAAAAAAAAAAAAATAGTGGAAGATAACGGTGCCACTAACGGCACCGTTACTGTGTCCACAATGCATGCTGGACACGGGTCCATAGCATAATGATTGGCCCTGGTGCACGGTATAACGATTGGACATAGAAGAAACATGGCAAATTATATTATGCACCGCCCGTCTTTTTTTTTTAAATGAAAATAAACAGTGTTTGTTTCCGCCGCTTCGCACCCTTTTACAAAAAGTAACTCTGTTATTCAGTGTCATTTTGTATACACTGCAGTTTCAATTCAACACAACTACAGTTTCATTTCGATATACTATAGTTTCATTCGATATTTATAGACTCAAATATGTGAAAATGTTATTTAATTTTATTTTATATACACTATAATTTCATTAAAACATAACTACATGATCATTTTGATATAATTACAGCTCCATTGTACAATATACACTCAAATATGTGAAATGTTATTCAGTTTCATTTTATATACACTACAGTTTCATTTCACTATAACTACAATATCATTTTGATATAACTGCAGTGTCGGTTTAGATATACTATAGTGTCAGTTGGTGTTTAATACACCAAACAAGCGGATTCCGTTAACTCTAACGGCGGACCGTTTCTTTACTTAAAGAAACAGCGCCGTTTTTGTGCACCGCAGTCTATAATATAACGACGGAAGAAACATTCAACCATATTGGGCCAAATAAAAGTGCAAGGCCCAACACATCAAGTGGGCTTAATCTACATACGCAAATATGGTTTCATCAATGGCTGAATTTATGAAAATTCATCTTTGCCTCTTTGGCAAGTAGACTTACGAATACAATATATTGAAGCAATGATTGAATCAGAAGTTGGGACTTTCCTGCACAATCGAGTTAATTAGCAGATACTAGTACTAAAATGTTGGCAGTTGCAGCTCAATTAGTGCCTCGATCTCAGCAGTTGATTGAGAAGAGAAATGAGATCAAACACCTGAGATTGGGGGGGACTAACGTATAAGGTGCACTAAAGTTCAGATTTTAGCTTGGTAATTCTCGTACAAGTAGATTCACGCCAGCAGCTAATTGCTTCGAATCTGTTCCAAGAAAAGGGAAATAGAAACACCGGTGTATCAACAAGGGACTTAACATGGTTGATGACATCGAGTTCAGGAGGCGTTAAATACCAATATATCAGCTGTAATTATCTTGAGATTCCAACTGCTCATCGGCAGAGGCTGAACTTATCTTCTTTTTACTATCAACCGCGATAACATCTGGAATGCAAATAAAGCATTCTACACTCATGCAAGGTCATTTTTAACTGGAAAACAAAAGGTTTTGAACTGAATTGGAGATCTCACCTCCTTCGGGATGTATCGAGTTATAATGAACTTCAGCCCAAAAGCTCAAGAAAATAACTGCATCATGAATGTATACATATGCCAACAGTCAAAAGTCAAAGAGAAAATGAAATTTAAGCAAACGTATCCACAAGCATCTATTTATAATTCACAAACAACAAAGGATGAGGGGATATACAAAAATGAAGTACTTTAACAAAGAAGACAATGTTACCAAGAAAATAGTAACACAAAGAAGGGTAATAATACTTCAAAAGAAGCTTGTCCCGGAAAGAAAAGTAAATAAAAAAAATGGAAATGGAAATACTAAAAAATCTTAATACCTCGTTCAGACTTTTGAATGTTGGGGACTATTTCAATATAGCAAGTATCCTTGAAAGATGTAATGACGAATATTTTTACACCATACTGCAATAACAGTAACAGGAAATTAGAATTTGTTCCAAAAAAAAAAAAAAATTAACTGAAATTGAGGCATTCAATTTTCAAACTAGTCCCATTTGATCTAATAACCATTCAGCTGGTGTAGGTCTTATACCTTCCTGAATAATAATAATAATAATAATAATAATAATAATAATAACATGATTTCTTATACCATTGTTGAATCAAATTATGTATCCACTGCTCAAGGTTTGGAGTTAGTCTCTCTCTTAACAGTTTCACCCGTCAAATCATGTGTTAAATTTAGAACTTCGACCAGATCCCTCCGATTGGACTCTGGTGGTTTCAAAACTTATAGATCATGTGAGTTGGAAAGCTACATGTATGTATTAAGGGCACAATAGCAATACAACTGTTAGTATGATGCCTATTGTATTATATTATCTATCTGGATTTAATTGTAATTAATGAACTTAGGTAGATAGTAAGACTTGTTTATATTTATTTCTATTCTATCTACACTAGGTTTGATCTACATAAAATAGAAAAACTGATGCAGGACTCTAATCTTTAGTGGATATCATGAAAACTTTTGTCTTCTAAGTAGCCAGAGTGGCTTAATCACTATTCAGTGGTCATGCTAACTCCAACCTCCAAATTGATAAGATACAGCAAGCACACAACACGAGACTATTCAATATTGCATATCAAACTTTGAAGATTAAAAAAATCACAAAATGCACAATAAATAAAAGATATAAAAGAAAAGGGAAAGAAAGTGTACCAAATCTGCTGCAGCTTGCAATGTTACATGATCCCCCCACTCACCACTCCTAATTCCATTTATATAATGGTTAGATATTCTAACCTAATAGTAACCTACAGAAATTAAATATGGAGAATCAATCAGAGAAAAGTAGAAGAGAAAATACTTTGACATCTTACGGAGATAATCATCATATGCCATGGGCACATATCCTTCGTAGATCTCTCTACACGATTTGAGCTGATAATCGAAAAGGTTGGAAGAAAAGAGAGTTAATTACAGAACTGTATAATCAATAATTAATAGGATATGATAATTATTGAAAATATTCAAAACCTGATTCACAATTTGCTGTCTAACAAATTTGTGATGGTCAGTGCTACGGTAAAATTGATCAGAGAGAGCCCGAAACTGGGAGAAGAAGAATAACAATCAGAAGTAGAAGTGACTTTTCATTTCAGGAACCTATCAAATAAAAACTGAAGCCTAATAATTGAACTATGGAGGTACTTTCATGGGATGACCTATAATAGTATAAATGTATAATTATTATTTTAACACATCTTGTCATCTTGAATTTGATGTATCCATTAAACTTTGGTTTGGGTTAATGATCACATGTGAGCATTTCCCATTCAGTGACATAGTTTCTGTATATGTCCACTCATTCAATGATGATTATCCTCCATATGAATTTTCGTAGCTCATTCAGCAGTGTCAAAAAGACTGAACTCTAATAATATAAATTATAATGATTAATGTTGAGTAGGTAAAATGTTTGGTACACACTTTTTTCTCAAAAGTAGAAAATAGAAGTGCCTTTGAGAAGTGTCAAGTCAGGCCCCACATGATATTTTCATAGAATTCAAAAGTCCAATGAGATGAATGGAGAACCCGAGAAACATTCCTTTATACATAACCATTACACAAGCTGTGAGTGAGATTGAATGTTAACCACATGAGCATTAGAAAAGCATCAATAAGATCATGATTGCAAACCTATTCTTCGGCCATGCACTTGGGCTTTTAAAGTACAAGGGGAAAATAAAATATCCAAGCCAAGCAAACTTAGGCCAATCATGGAAAAACTTTGTATAACATACAACCACTATAAAAATGAAGATAAAATTTGTATACCCTCCTAGCCAAAGAAAGTAATCCTAAAATATAATTCCCACATAAGCAAATAAGCAAACAAGCAACATAGAAATAATTATCCAGAACAGCGGGATGACATGTCAGACATCCATTTGGAAGAAAGATCAACAATAATCTTTCCACAAATGATGCTTCCTCCTCTACACTAAGCATGATAAGACAAGAAAGCCACTTATTATTCAAGGATTACTCTTCTAGATATATGCAACATTATAATGAACCAGGCACTTAATTTAATGTGTTCTAATGAACAAAGAGATTTATAACAAAATAAATTAATGAATCATAAGAGATCTTACCTGACAATTACCATCCCCTTGAACCTTAGACTCTACTAGCTCATACATCTGCAGTCTGTAGGAAAACTCAAAAATCAATGTTTCTGTTGAAACACAAAAGTTGTGTCTGTAGAAATATAGCTGTTGAAGTTGTGTAGGGTTGTGTCTATTAGGATTGTGTCTCTTAGTCTGTATATATTTATCTATTGTCTCCTCATTGCGACAAGCAAGTAATAAAAACTTCTTCTACATCTTTCTCAACATGGTATCAAGAGCCAAAAGTCAAAATTTGAAATTTTTTTTCCGGTGAACAGTACATGCTACTGTTCATTAGAAACTAATTTTTCAAATTACTTGCTATTGGTGAGATATTTTATCAAATTAGTACTACAGCCGCCTTACCCATCCTCCGGCGACCATTACCCATTAATTCCGGTCGCCGGAATCTCCTCCACGCGCCTCCACGCGCCACCGCGTCGCCGGCGCTCCGACACCACGCGCCGGCGCGTGAGGCCATCTCCGGCGGCCTTTTCCGGCGATATTCTCCAGATCGTATCGTCGGCTCTCCTCCTTTTCTTCCGTGCAATCAGATTTATTTTTGGTCACGATGTCTTCCGACGGAAATTCTGATAATTCGGGTACTATTTCTCCTGCCAATAATTTACCTACTTCTTCGAGCTCTGTTTATGTGTCTAATCTGTCTGGAAACCCGATAATCACTTCTGAAAGATTATGTGGTTCTCAAAATTACCACTCTTGGTCGGATGCCGTAGAATTATGGTTTATGGGCCAAGGTGTTGTTGACCACTTGCAAAAAGAAGTGGATATGATACCGGAAAAAGAAAAGACAGTTTGGCAAAGGTTAGATGCTCAACTTTGTAGTCTCCTTTGGCAGTCTCTTTCTCCAGAATTGTTGCCTTTATTCCGGCCCTTTAAGACATGTGTCGGGGTGTGGAGTCAAGCTCAATCTCTGTACACTAATGATGTCTCTCAATTCTATAATGTTGTTGACAATTTGGTTAACTTGAAGAAAGATGGTATTGATATGGAAACTTTTCTTGGCAAAGCCCAAAGTTTAATTGCTGAGTTTGGTACACTCATGTCTATTGGTGGTACACCCGCAGAGCAACTTACCCAACGAGAGAAATTCTTTGTCATACTTCTCTTAACCAAATTAGGTCCAGAATTTGAAAGCATCCGGAATCAAGTTCTTGGAAGCAACATTGTCCCGGGGACCACCGAGTTGTTCAAACGGCTCTTGCAGGTCACCTCCATTCCAGGTACTCACACATCCACTACCGAACAATCTGCTCTAGTCACACAAGGAGGTCGTGGACGAACTAACAATCGTGGTGGACAGAAAAACACATGAGTGTGTGATTATTGTAATAGAACTGGGCACACACGAGATCAGTGTTGGAAACTTCATGGGAGACCGGTACGTACGCAAAGTGTTGCTCAATCTCAACCTGGGGAACCAAATTCTCGAACCATTTCCGCTGCTGAGTATGAAGAGTTTATTCGATTTAAAGCCACTCCCAAAGCTTCTGGTTTAACTCCTGCAGCCTACACTGATGGAACTCATACTGCCCTTGTATCACAATCTGGCCTGAGCGGACCATGGGTTATCGATTCAGGTGCCTCTGAGCATATCTTTGGTAACTCGTCTTTATTTTCTCATTTCACCAAGTCTAAGTCCCTTCCATCTATTGTTTTCGGTAATGGGTCCAAGAGTACGGCTACCGCAATTGGAAAGGCTTCCCCCCTTCCTACTTTGCCTCTCTCTTCAATTCTTTATATACCTAACTGTCCTTTCAATTTAATTTCTGTTCATCAACTTACAAAATCTTTGGACTGTACGGTCACTTTTTCTTCTGATTCTGTCATTATGCAGGACCGTCGTTCGGGGAAGATGATTGGCTCGGGGTATGAATCAGAAGGACTTTATCGATTATCTACCCCAAACCCTTCTACAGTTTGCACTGCTACCATTCCTCCTTCCCTTGCCCATGACCAACTAGGACATCCTAGCCTTAAAAAATTACGGCGACTTGTCCCTAGTTTGTCTCACTTATCTACCCTAGAGTGTGAAGCCTGTCAGCTTGGCAAACATTCTAGAACATCGTTTCCTAATCGTGTTAATAAAAGAGCTGCTTTCCCTTTTTCCTTAGTTCATACTGATGTTTGGGGACCTTTTCGTTATAATTCAATTCTTGGTTTTAAATATTTTGTTACCTTCACTGATGATTTTTCTCGTTGTACATGGGTCTTTTTAATGCAAAACCGTTCTGAAGTACTTAATGTTCTTCAAAAATTTGTTAATGAGATAAAAAATCAGTTTGGGGTGTCTATTAAAACTTTACGAAGTGATAATGCTGGAGAATACTTTACAACTCCTTTATCTAACTTTCGTGATTCAGCGGGCATCCTCCATGAGTCATCTTGTCCCGATACTCCACAACAAAATGGGGTATTTGAACGTAAAAACCGGCATCTCGTTGAAACAGCCCGCACCATGATTCTCCACTATAAAGTCCCTCCAGAATTCTGGGCAGATGCTATCCTTCATTCCTGTTATTTAATAAATCGTATGCCTTCATCTGTTTTACATGGTAAGATACCTTATAATATTTTATTTCCCGATAAGCCCCTTCATACTCTTCCTTTAAAAATTTTTGGGTGCACCTGTTTTGTCCGGGACACTACCCCAGGGCGTGATAAATTTTCTCCAAAATCCTTAAAATGCATGTTTGTTGGGTACTCTAGGTTGCAAAAGAGTTTCAGATGTTATTCCCCTGATAAGCATCGATTTTATGTATCTTCTGATGTTACTTTCTTTGAATCAACACCTTTCTTTTCGTCTAGTTTACCGACCTCCATCTCTCATTTTCCTGATGTTCTTCCTGTTCCTACTTTTCAAGGAGGGACCGAGGTACATTTACCTCAAGATCTGTCATCACCTAGAAATCCTAGTCCCTCACCTACTGAACCTCCTTTACAAAACAACAGTGTTACCCCCTTTCCTTACACTTATCATCGCCGCTCTCAACCACCCGCGACAGTTCAAATCGATGAAATCCCAACTGATTCATCTCTCGAGCTATCTATGCCCTCGAACCCGGTTCCCGCAACAAGCTCTCCTATTGCAAGTCGTGTAGGTAACAGGTCATCACGAAATCCCTTTCCCACCCTGGTTGGCGTCAGGCTATGGTTGATGAAATGGCTGCTCTTCATTCATCGGGAACTTGGGAGTTAGTTCCATTACCCGAAGGTAAAACAACTGTTGGTTGCCGATGGATCTATACTGTGAAAGTTGGGCCCAATGGACAGGTTGATAGACTTAAAGCTCGACTGGTAGCTAAAGGATATACACAGGTTTTTGGGATTGATTACACTGACACCTTTTCACCAGTAGCTAAAATTGCTTCGGTCAGAATCTTTCTTTCTATGGCTGCCGTTCATCATTGGCCCTTGCATCAGTTAGATATTAAAAATGCCTTTCTGCATGGAGATTTAGAGGAAGAAGTCTACATGGAGCAACCTCCTGGGTTTGTTGCTCAGGGGGAGAGTAACTTGGTTTGTAAGCTCAAACGTTCTCTCTATGGTCTAAAACAATCTCCTCGTGCCTGGTTTGGACGGTTCAGCATAGTAGTGCAAAATTTTGGTTTAAATCGAAGCAAAGTTGACTATTCCGTCTTTTATAGACATCAACATGGTAAGAGCATTTATCTTGTTGTATATGTTGATGATATTGTCATTACAAGAGATGATGTTGAAGGAATACAATTGTTGAAACAACATCTATTCCAACATTTTGAAACAAAAGATCTGCGGAAGTTAAAATACTTTTTGGGAATTGAAGTAGCACAATCCAAGCAAGGAATTTGCATATCACAAAGGATATGCATTGGATATACTAGAAGACACAGGTATGATGAATTGTAAACCTCTTGACACTCCTATGGATCAAAATATCAAACTCCTACCAGACCAGGGGGAGCTTATCCAAGATCCGGGAAAATATAGACGATTGGTTGGAAGATTACTTTATTTAACTGTAACTCGACCTGATATCTCTTTTGCGGTAAGTGTTGTTAGTCAGTTCTTGGCATCTCCACGTGAAAGTCATTGGGAAGCTGCCATTCGGATTTTACGATATATTAAAAAATCTCCAGGCACTGGTTTGTTATACAAAGACCATGGAAACCTTGAAGTTATTGGGTACACAGATGCAGATTGGGCAGGTGCATGGGATAGAAAATCAACATCTGGATATTGTATCTTTCTTGGTGGCAACTTAATCTCTTGGAAAAGTAAAAAGCAAAATGTTGTTGCTCGATCAAGTGCAGAAGCCGAATATCGATCTATGGCCATTGGAACATGTGAACTTGTGTGGTTGAAAAACCTCCTTACCGAACTGCAGATTTGTACAAAGGAGTCCATGAAGCTCATTTGTGATAACCAAGCAACTTTGCATATTGCATCAAATCTAGTCTTTCATGAAAGGACGAAACACATTGAAATTGATTGCCATTTTGTTCGAGACATAGTTACTTCTGGAGATATTACTACATCTTTTATAGGCTCAAATAATCAATTAGCTAATATATTTACTAAAGCTTTAAGAAGTCATAGGATTGAATACATTTGTAACAAGCTTGGTGCATATGATATACATGCTCCAGCTTGAGGGGGAGTGTTGAAACACAAAAGTTGTGTCTGTAGAAATATAGCTGTTGAAGTTGTGTAGGGTTGTGTCTATTAGGATTGTGTCTCTTAGTCTGTATATATTTATCTATTGTCTCCTCATTGAGACAAGCAAGTAATAAAAACTTCTTCCACATCTTTCTCAACAGTTTCAACCCAAATAATGGCCACAGGAATCTTCAATTAAAAATAAATAAATAAAAGGAAGCCATTTCCAAAATATTCCTACCAATAGTAGACATCAAACCACATAAGAGAGTTATTGCAGTATTATAATAACGGAGACTTTATTATTTGCTATTAATAGGAATTATTCATATATGCTTCCAAATTTGTGAACTTGCACACAATTTCGCAGACTTTATTATTTGCTATTAATAGAAATTATTCATATATGCTTCCACATTTATGTGAACTTCAACACAATTTCCAGGACAGTAACAAAAGAATACCTGTCCAAGAGCCTTTGATGATCTAAAGTAGCCTCATCAATTGATGGTATTTCCCCATTAATTTTAGGAATATGCTGCAAACAAGAAAAAGAAATTGATCAGTGGAATGCAAATTTGAGGATGCAGAACATCAGTAAATCAGTACCAAACATATAGTTTTAGTAATTTTGCATATATTGATCATCAAGGCAGGGAAACACGATGGCAAAATGCATTCACTAATAAGCACATCCAACATGATTACATGTATTCTAGTTGTACTGGACAAAAGGAAAGTAACCCCAAGTTATAGTCTTCCTAGCCATGCATACCAGTATAAAGGTGCACACTTACTGGAATAGGAACCATCTGGTTCAACCTTTTGCCTACTTCACCATCAAGATCATATTCATCCAATAATTCAAGAGAATAGGACCACTCCTCCTCAGAGTATGACCCTTCTCGAGGACTAGAACATGAACTGGATGGTCCAACATTAGTTGTTTCTTCTTCACCATTCTCATCTCCTACAAATTATAATATGAACAGTGTGATTATGACAATAATGGAAATGACACAAACAAATATGGTTTCAAATTTGAGTCACTTTCATTACCAAATGTATAGCTACCCATAGGTTGACTAAACCATCCTTGAGAATAATAGGGTGTTTGTGTATGATCTATCACTGGATGGATGTCTGAATGGGGTTCAGCAACTGAGAGCTGTGATAGTTCTTCCCCAAGAGAGCATGCATTGTACTCATTGTTTTCCAGGCTAGAAGCTAGATTATAAATACCTTCTTTAAAGTAGTGATCTTGATAATAATCTGGACCACTTTGGGTGATGGAGCAACCATAGTAGTTAGAATATGGATCACCGTCAAATAGCTGGAGACCCCACCTAACCACATCAGGATCTTGGTCATATGTAATCATTTAGAAATATATTTTCTTAATCAGCAGTACAGTGTCCACAAAAATTTGAAGAGAACCGCTGGCCAGCGTTGGGGCAAACTATGAAGGGAATAGACAGCTCAATTGCTCTGTTCCAAAAGGAAATTCAAATTAATATTTCCCAAACCAACTATGATCCAAGTATAACTCAACCAAGTCATTAGTCATATACTTGCTTCAAAATGTGTTGATGTAGCATTTAAAATTTTAAAACCTTCAATGCAGAGGGTTTTTTTTACGGCTCCATATAGCATGCATGTCATGGAATATGTGCTAAAACTATATACATTATAGGTTACTACAAACTAGAGCCTAGAGAATGGCATTAAGAAGAAAGGTCAACAAAATTAAAATAAATCAGAATATTACAAAAATTTAAAGAAAGAAAAAGAATTATGTCAAATTTTGATACCCCAGGATGTTGCATCTAGAAATATAAATTTTACAACCTTGCTTAGAATGCATGCCTCATCATGTTGACCACAAAGAAGGGCTCAACTGAGAAATCTGTTCTATTTTCATATCAATAGGCTGTGTTGCAATGCTTAATTGCTTATTAAGTGGCAATTCAATCACTTACCAAGATCATGCTAGTTACGAGCAATGAATCCAAGTGACATTCTAATTTGACAAAACAAACTCAAGAGGATGAACTCAAGGGCTTCTTAACTCGTGCAGACTCATCTGGACACCATTATATTCCACTATCTGACAAAGAAAAAAAACACTAACACTATCAAAGAACCACCAATCTCCCTATTTCCTTCTTATTATCATTTGTATTTCCAAAGCCAGCACTCGGACGTTAAACTGACAACACTATTCTGTGTCTCTGAAAGCTAACATAAAACTGATTCCGTAGCAATTGCTCATCTACATGACTACATGTCCTACTGGATTCAGTAAAGCAGCATTCTAACTTAAAACCCTATCCAACTTCGTAGATTAAGCACAGATCGTAAAATCATCAAATTCGAAGAAACTGTGAATCAGCAAAACGTCGGTGAATGAGCACATAAGATCACACGGAATGATTTGCAAATAGAATCACAACCACCACAATGCTACAAAATTTAATTAGAAGAAAACGCATAAAAAAAAGCATACGAATCTCTGAGACCTTGGCGAATCCAGGTACAACGCGATTGAATGGATGTGGCTTGGTGCGTACGCATGAATCAGAAGGCTCCCTGGAGGCGCAAAGTGTGAAGACTAAGCCGAGGGAGGCGAGTGGAGGTGAAGAAGAAGAAAGGGAGAGGAGAAGGACGAATGTCACGAGGAGTGTACAGTGAGTTTGAGAGCGTAACAGATAGACAGTCAATGATGGAAGGGAAATGGACAACAGAGATGGAATCAATCTCTGGAAATGGAATCACACTCTTCATCTCACTTTCACGCTTACTGTGCTTCCACTCCTCATTTCTCTAACGCCCTTTTCTCGCGCTTATTTCTTACTTCTATTATTTGTTTTCTTTTCCTTCCTTCCTAAATATTTTTTTGGAATAGAAGTCAAATTAGCCCTCCAACATATTAGAATAATGTAGTTCGGGCACTTTGAAGTCCAAAAAGCTTCATTCAATCACAAAAATTTGGGAAAAAAAAAAAATCAATTGGCTCATGTTTAGCTACTAAGAGTAGTTAGTACTTAGTATCCTGCAGCCTCTAGGCTCTTGTATAAATAGTGATCCAAATAAGGTTTAGAAAGACTCTTGTATAAATAGTGATGCAAATTCACTTTCCAAATCAATGTGAGACAAAAGTTTATTTTTTTTCTTTCATTTTTTTAATTGATGGGTCTACTTTAAGAATAAATAACTCATTCACCCATTATCCGTTTTAACTGTAATATATCAATCTCTTCGTCTCACAACAAATAATCTGAATCCATTTTGACTCGACCCAAAATCGAAAGTGGACCCCACTGATAATTTTACCACAAAATAGCCACTTAAAATGTCATTTTAATCTTATTTTTTCAACAGTTTAAACTATTCTAATTCGACTCACATGTATCTACCATTGAAAATCCGTTGATAATATTACTATATACCCTGTAGCAAGGTATATGATAGAAAACAAATGTACGCACGCTTTATCTTATACCTCATTCGAATTTCACTGAATATAGGATACAGCGTATCCATTAGACCTATAAATTATCAATGAATCCAAAAATATTTATTTCATTTTAGGTCTAATTGATTCACTTTTGTGAATACAAAAAATGTACGAGATTCTTATCTGAATTCAAAATAGAATTTTGTCGAATTTCACTGAATATAGGATACAGCGTATCCATTAGACCTATAAATTATCAATGAATCCAAAGATATTTATTTTATTTTAGGTCTAATTGATTCACTTTTGTGAATACAAAAAATGTACGAGATTTTTATCTGAATTCAAAATAGAATTTTGAATTCATTGGAATGGATAAACTGAGGACTTCAAATAGGAATTTGAATTCATTGGAATGGATAAACAGAGGATTTCAGAAAGCTCAATCATTCAAACTATTAGCAACACCCCACCACCGAGGTTTGATCCTGTGACCTTCTATCAAGGAGAGCCAAATATGAGAATCAATTTATTTCTGAAAAGTGTGTAACCAAATTTACTAATATTACATAATAGAATAGTATTTACAAATGCTTTATACACATAGTTTCAAATTATATATAGATAAAATTACATGGTCAAAATTTTTCACTAATTATTTTTATTCATTGATTATTATACATTCACTTATTATATTCATATTAAAAATTGAGTTTATTTATATTTTTGAGTGATAAGGAAAATCACAAACACTATTTAATGGTGTCTAGAAAATAAATTTATCTTGTGATCCTAATCAGTAAATATAGATAAATTAATTTTTTTTTTTGAATGCTACTGACTCTATTACATTATAGTATCTGACCCTAATCGTATTAGTAAATATAAATAAATTAACTTTTTATTAACTTTTTTTTAATGCTACTGTAGTATCTGACGCTAATCAGTAAATATAGATAAATTAACAATTTTTTTTTGAATGCTACTGACTCTATTATATTGTAGTATCTGTTCAAACATACTTTCTCAAGTTTCCACATAAGAGAAATCACTACATGTCATCTAAGCACAAAGTGCTTGACATAAATAAATTAACTTAAGTTGTCTATATCAAAGTTATAATATACTCAAAGTAAAGTCAATAAATCACTGCACTCTTATTAAAAATTAAATTTATAATTTTATAATTATTAAGTTAATAATATGACAAACTTCACTGTTACATCAAATCAACTCATTTTCGTATCTTTCATTATTCTCCCAAAAGGTTGTATCCTTAACCCAAAGGCCCCCACTTCGACCCGACAGAGTATTTGAGAGATGTAAATTACGGTGACTCAATAGCTCAGCAGATATTGTCAAATACTGATGCGCAGAAGTGATCTGTCCATTTTGAACATAATCTCACACTATCACCACTAAAGTTCGAACTTTAATCTCATTTTTCAAATCATGCATACTAAACCATTGAGCTACGTCCGGGTTGGCTCATTTTCAAATCTTTTACGCTTTGGTTTACAGGCACATGACTGGCAAATTATATCATGCACCGCGCGTCTTTTTTTTTTTAAATGAAAATAAACAGTGTTTGTTTTCTACCGTTTCGCACCCTTTTGCAAAAAGTAACCCTGTTCTTCAGTGTCATTTTGTATACACTGCAGTGTCAGTTCAACACAGCTACAGTTTCATTTCGATATAACTATAGTTTCATTCGATATTTATAGACTCAAATATGTGAAAATGTTATTTAATTTTATTTTATATACACTATAGTTTCATTAAAACACAACTACATGATCATTTTGATATAATTACAGCTTCATTGTACAATATACACTCAAATATGTGAAATGTTATTCAGTTTCATTTTATATACACTGCAGTTTCATTTCACTATAACTACAATATCATTTTGATATAACTACAGTGTCGGTTTAGATATACTGTAGTGTCAGTCGGTGTTTAATACACCAAACAAGTGGACTCCGTTAACTATAACGGCGGGCCGTTTCTTTACTTAAAGAAACAGCGTCGTTTTTTACCGCGATATACATACACCGCGGTCTATGATATAACGACTGCACATGACTCCTTACGCGGCGTTGCAGCATGATGTTGTCGGACGTGGGTGACGACACGATTGCTGACCGCAAATTACTCCATGTTTCGGTCCACCTTATGGCCTCTGCGTCTATTAAATTATTTTTGGTACAAACTTCATATTAATTAATAATTAGCATGTGCATGCCAATTCTATGCACAGCATCATACGTTGTACGCTCAAACTCGTACATGTATACCAACCAGAAAGCTGGTGTCCGGTCGTCATGATGAGTTATGACACTCCAGGCAGGCAATTATTTTTACTTTTTCTTTTTTACCACTTTTTTTTTTCTTCCCTCGAATAAAAATAATGGTAAATATTAGCTTAGGTTTAGTTTTAAAATATTTTATAGAAAATAATTTTGAAAATTGAATCATTGTTTTGAAAAATATTTTTAATTTATTATGTTTGATTGAAAATCATTAAAAAATACTGAAAATTAAAAATATATATATAATTTTTGTTTGATTTATTTTAAAAAAATGAACATATTAAGTTACTCCATATTTCATATAAAATATCAGTTATTGTAATGATGATAATAATTATAATTATAATTATAATATATATTAAAATGAAGTTATATATAAAAATAAAAATAAATATAAAAAAGAAGATATAAAATAGTATTTAACTTATAGGAATTTATTATAATGAAAATAAATACATAAATTGATAAATACAATAATTTTGAATTAAAGAAATTAAATAAAAAAATACATTTAAAAACAAAATTTAGGTTGTAGGTCAAGCTATGCTAAGATTTGTATTGTTTATTTTTTTTTAGTTTAGCCTATATTTAATTTGGTATTGATAAATGTAATAACTTTAAACCAAATAAATTAAAAAAAAAAAAAAGAAGTAAACTTTGGTTTTTAATATGTTGGGTACGTTGTGGACATGTGTGAAAAACTCTTATAAACTTAATATTATTGTATATGATTCTGCATATTTCATAAGATAGGACAGACTTATATACAAAGAGAAGGGAGAATTAAAAAGGCAAGATATCATAATGATTCCTTTCAATATTTCCATGATTTTATGCAGTGATATTTGTTTCCCTTCTTCCTGTGAAATATTTTGTTTCCTCAATTTGCTTTTCTTCCTTATCAGCCCCCTTCAAGTTGGAGACGGAGTGTAAGTGGAGTCCCATCTTGTCGCGAAGGAAAATAAAAAGTGCCTTTGGTAAGGGCTTGGTGAGAATATCTGCTATTTGGTGTGAAGATGGCACAAACCGTGTGACAAGGTGACCCATGGCTACTTTTTCTCGAACAAAATGTTAGTCTATTTCGATATGCTTTGTCCTCGCATGAAAAAGAGGATTAACCGACATATGAAGAGCACTGAGATTGTTGCAGAATAATTGTGGAGCATGAAGCAAAGGGATGCTAATGTCACGTAATAAAAAAGTGAGCCAAGTTAATTCAGCTGTAGTGGAAGCCATGGACCTGTATTCTGCTTCTGAACTAGATCGAGGAATTGTAGGTTGCTTCTTTGAACACCAAGAAATGCAATTAGCACCTAGGAAAGCACAAAAACCTGTTGTGCTTCTTCTGGTTAAGGGACAACCTGCACAATCGGCATCTGAAAAAGCATACAAAGAGAGAGGACTCTTAGAAATGAATCGTAAGCCATAGTCTTGTGTGCCTTTAAGGTAGCAAAGAATTCGCTTGACTGCTTTAAGATGTAGTTCTGTGGGGGAGTTGAAGAATTGACAAACTTTATTGACAGCATGTTGAATGTTTGGCCGAGTCAATGTGAGGTATTGAAGAGCACCAACAATACTTCTATAATAAGTAACATCTTTATGATTTCGTGATTCAAAGGAATTGACCACGTTGGCTGACTTTCCTGATTACTTATTTTCTGCGCTATTGCGAAGAGAATCCGCTGTGACAAAAGGGGCTGTGTCAGACTGAACAAAGCAAGCCTCAAAGCGAGAAAAAAATACACCATTTTGTTTTGACATATTTTCTTTTTCTTTGAGAACCATAGGAGTAGCATTAGGAGTACAATCTGTCATCCTTGTAAGGTTGAGAAGATCCTTGATATATTTGCCTTGAGAGAGAATGACTCCTCCATTGAAGTATTTAATTTCCACACCTAAAAAAAATGTTAGACATCCAAGATCCTTTATAGCAAATTCTGCACTTAATTGATGAATTAAGTTAGAGATGAAGGAGTCATTATTTCCAGTCACCAATATGTCATCTACATAGATGAGAAGCAATATTGTAATAGAATTTTGACGATAAATAAATAAAGAAGAATCAGCCTTACTAAAAC